AAAAAAAAAAAAAAAAAAGGAAGACTATGAAGAGAGAGAGAGAATGGAGAAGCAGCAGTTTGGACCATGCCTGAAGCCTGACACTGGGGGCCTGAGGCGCTGTGTAAAGCACTGAGGACAGGGCCTGGCACACGGGAAGAGGCCAGTAGGACTGGCCAAGGGCCTTTCAGCACGTCCGGGCGGCAGACGCCAGTACTTACAGTGACCAACCCCCATGGCTCCGTAGTGGTTAGACACGGCAATGAGGTCGTACACGTAAGGCCTCGCCGACAGGTCACACACAAACTCGGACATGTTCAGAGCTCTGAGCACAAAACACAAAAATGGCCTTTAACACATTAACCTCAGAGAAAGAAGCTGGAGTAAGCGAGCACCCCCTTTTATGCACGAGACTGGCACACGGGAGCACTCGGACACGAGCTGCAGCAGGAACGAATGCAGAGGCCGCAGGGGCAGGGGCCCCGGGGGCTGGTGCAGCCTGGACAGAAGCCGCCTGGGGCGTGCCGGCCCCGCAGCCGGCGGCGGGCAAGGGCTCTGGGCAGGTAAGAGCGCTGCAGCAACTATGCAGAAATGGCCATCAGGACCAAAATTACTGTCGGTGCCATAAGCATTTCAGCTGAATACCGAAACAGGTCCCAGAAAACTTTTCTCCCCCAGTATTTTATTTTGAAAATTTCAAACATACAGAAAAGTTAAATGCATTTTTAGACAAACATCTATATTCTATCCGTGTCTCTACCTCCACTCCCACCCCCCAGGAAGCATTTTAAAATCTGCACTTTGTGGACGAACTCTTATCTGGTTGACTTACTTTCCTGGGCCTGTCACTCTGCGTCCTGGCACCTGGGGACACGAGTAGACAGCCAGTCCCACTCTCTGCCCCAGGGACCAGACAAGTGGCTCCGCAGCCCCGCTGCAGCCCCCAGTTATCCAGTTCTCCTCAGCAGACTACACTCCGGTTGCTTTTTCGTGCAGTTAACGAGAAGCAGCACTGTGTTTGTGCTGTCCAGACGAGCCCAGGCCCCTTGGACCAACGACGGACAGGAGGCCCAGTTCAGTGAGGGGGCAGCAATGATCAGCATCACTCTGAGCCTGGGAAGCGCTTCTGCTGGAGAATCTTTTCCCCAAAGGTAGGAGGATGGGGAGGGGGGTGAGCCGAAGTCCAAATGCCTGAAGCCCAGCAACACACCTCCTAATGCAGAAAAGTCTTTCGTGACAAAACTCAGCCAATCGGTGCCCAGGTCTCCTGCCTACTTCTTAATTTTCCTAAGAACACTGCAGCTCAGGGACCCACCTGACTGGGAATTCCACCACTGTGTCGAGCTTATCCCTCCAGTATCTATTGTAGGAGAAACGTTTGAGGTGGACCACCAGGATCTTCGGCAAGGACCACAGGTCAAACTTCTTAGTGGCCTGCTGATGCTTCTTACAGTTGGGACAGTACCTGCAGAGAAAAGAGAAACTTCCACTTAGCAGGGAGACGGAGAGCCAGGGCCCCCTGGGCACCCAAGCACGGAGGCACAGCCACAATCCCACAACATCTTTTCCTGAGCTCAGCATGGCTGCTTGCGGGGGAGGGTGGCTATCTCTAAGCCACCTTCTGAAATGCGGGGGCGGGGGCTGGCTTTCTTAGTCTGGAAAACAACTTGTACAGAAAAACTGTGATATAGGGGTCAGTCATGTAAAGAAGTGACACCTCCCCCCCGTAAAAGGGTTTCTGTGTACACAGATGGCCCCAGCAGATCTCAGTCCGGGGTTCACGGGTGCCCCCGCCCAGACTGGGGAGCTGCATACCAGGGGTCGTGCTCCCCAAGAGTCTCCATGGTGGTGAAAAGCTCGATGCAGTCTCTCAGGGCCACAGCAGTCTTCTTCTTCTTCTGAGGCTGCAACATGCTCACGTGCTTCTCGTAGGCCTGTGAGGAAGAAAGCGCTGACTTCCAGTGGGGAAACGAGTTCTCACCAGGTGAAGCCACAACGTCACAAGCTCCCAGGCCAAGAAGATAATGTACTTTCTGAGGCCTCTGACCACATAATGACAAAATCTGTAAGTACTTTCTGTTCTCAGTCTGACACAGAATCTGTTAAATTGCTGGGGAACTGGTGACGGTGACCCAAATACACAGCCAGAGCAGAACCCAGCGCGCCCCCCCCAACCCAGAATCCCGAGTCACCTACCTCAGACTCCTGCTCATCATAATAAAGGCTCCGGGTCTCACTGTCCCAATCGATGGCCAGTGTGGATCGAGCTGCGGAGGAAGACCAAAGCGTCACTCATGACTAATGGCCAGCATAAGGAAAGGCTCTTCAGGTGATGGCAGTGAGAAGAAAACACTCAGCTACACCATCAACTCCTGCTCCCCTGTCAGCAGCCACAGCCTGAGCCAGCCAACTCTGAACCCCCAAATCCTTTGGCAAAGATTTCCTCAATGCCACAGTAAGTTCCAGAGGTGCTAAATATATAGGATACCGAAAGAGAGAGGTCAAGATGAAGTAACAGCGACCAGATCTGCCCTCTCACCTTACCTCATAAGAAAACCTGACGGAATAATGAAAGACTGTTTTGAGACGATGGGTACTGGGCAGAGGAAGAGTGCGATCCCCAAGAGAAGGAAAACAAACAAGGTGATGCCTACACCAGGTGCTGGATGCCCAGCTTACTGCCTGCAGGCACTTGCCAGACCACGGCATGGGAGAGACGGGGAAGGAACTGGGCAGACGGAGGTGGGGAGCTAAAGACTGGAGTTCGAGGAGGTGGCTAGAGTTTGTAAGGCATTGACAAGAGGAGGAGGCCACACAGAGAGGACGGAGCTGCAGAGACAGGGAGAGAGAGAGAGACCCGAAAATGCCTCAGTAAAGCTGGTATGAACACACATTTTTAAAGAGATCTAACAAAAAAAGAAAGGGAGTGAAAGGAAGCTAATTTCTTTTCCAGTGAAGGAGACACAGAATTGCGTCCAGGCAGGGGTCTTCTCCATCCTCTCGTGCTCTCCACACAACGCGCGTCCTGCCTGGATGCCTCTTCCGTGCGCTCGGCGGCCCCCGTTACCAGCTCCAGCTAACAAACAGCCCATGAAACCCACGACCATCATCTAGATGGGTCACACGTCATGAGTAGTCTTATGGAGCAGAAGAAATAGCCACATAGTCTCATAAGCGAGAGGACTCCGGGGAAATGCCGCCATGCAGGAGGCACGAGATGTGTTACCAACCCAGCACAGAGGCCCCGAGGGTGGTGGCGGTGGTGGGAGAGGACCAGAGAGACAAGCCTGACAAGATGGCTGGGGCAGGGGCTCAGGTCTCGTGAACATTTTTTTTTTTTTAAGGTTAAAAAAAATTTTGGTTTTTTTTTAAAGATTTTATTTATTTGACAGAGACACAGCGAGAGAGGAAACACAAGCAGGGGGAGTGGGAGAGGGAGAAGCAGGCTTCCCGCGGAGCAGGGAGCCCGATGTGGGGCTCGATCCCAGGACCCTGAGACCATGACCTGAGCCTAAGGCAGACGCTTAACCGACTGAGCCACCCAGGCGCCCTCGGGAACAGTCTTTAGGGAGCTTTAAGCCAAGGCCCACACAAGCGTCTATTCATGGAGCTACAGGGAGAAGGTGAGAGCCCAGCGCAGTGAGTACTGAGTGCAAACAGGATTTTCAGACAGAGTCTAAGCCCCCCCACCCCCCCAAGCCCAGTTTGAAAGGTCAAAGAAAGTGCTTACAGTTGAGTTTAAGTAGTTTTCCGTCAGTTGCAAGGGAATTTATGTCAGCTGTTCCATAGGAGTTCACAAGGCTGAAGGTAAAAAGCCTTTTCCGGCAGGGCTGGCCTTTGACCTTCTTCTGGGTGGTCTCACCGTGGTCACCACCTAGCTCATCCTCCCCACTGCCTTCTGTTTCTGAAAGCTGCTCTTTACCTTCTTCCTGATGCTCCATTTCTTCTTCGTCTTCTCCTGGCACACAAACAAAAACCAGTGTATATAACCTGCCACCACTTCAATGTTAAAAATTTTACTTCATACCTAAGTCTGGTGCTTCCTCCCACATTTTGTCCCGTGTACGTGAAACTCCATCTAGCCCTTTACAAGGCACCTGAATTCACCCTCATCACGAGCCAGTGAGACACGCAGAGGGGCCCTGCTAACGTGAGATGAGAGAGCGCAGGCCCAGGGAAGCTCATGGAGACCCCCGAAGGCACAAGGTGAGTCAGGAGGCCCACCTGTCCTAATGGGGGCCCCTCCACACTTGGTACTTTACTGGGCTTCACCCCACATCCTCTGACTCTTTCAACTTTGTCATCTGATCCACAGAGAGAAAAGGACCAAAGGGTTAAGAAACACAATTTAAAAGTCAATTTTAAGGGCGCCTGGGTGGCTCAGTTGGTTATGCGACTGCCTTCGGCTCAGGTCATGATCCTGGAGTCCCGGGATCGAGTCCCGCATTGGGCTCCCTGCTCAGCAGGGAGTCTGCTTCTCCCTCTGACCCTCCCCCCTCTCATGTGCTCTCTCTCTCAAATAAATAAAAAATCTAAAAAAAAAAAAAAAAGTCAATTTTAAAAGTACTATTATGATCACAAATACTAAGCAAAAACCTTCAGTTCCTCTACAAGAAACACGCTGACTATCCCTTCACCAAGCAGTTGGTGAATGTCTCCCACGTACAGGTGCCAGGCTGGGTCCCGGTGACCCAGCAGACAGGGTCCTCCCTATCTTTTTTTTTCCTCGTTATTCATTTGAGATTGCTGAGTTTCAAGAAATTTTTTTAAGTTTATTTTTTTTTTTTAGTAATCTCTACACCCAGCATGGGGCCTGAACTCAAGATCCTGAGATCAAGAGTTGAATGCTCTTCCAACTGAGCCAGCCAGGCACCCCTCAAGAGTTTTAATAGGCATTCTAGAGACATACGCTGATGAGTAAATTTCCCAGGTATTTCCAGAGAACTGGTATATGTGGCTGCAGTAAAATGACCCATAAACATAGTCATCGCACTTTTTGTTGTTAGGAAAAGGGGAAGTCAGGGTATTGGGTAAGTAATTTCAACAAAGATGGGACAACTCCAAAAGAGGAGAAGAAAGCATTTAAAATATGAAGTTTATATACTTGGGAAATAGCAGTAGAAATGGAAACTCTGAGGAAAAGAGGATGTTCCCACATAAGAATTCTCTTTTTCAAAGACAGTCTGCCTTGGGAGTGTTCCTAAGGAATGAAGGAAGCCAGGCCCAGGACAATCCAGCAGTTTCCGCTCAAGCCACAGGAACAGCACAGCCACGGATGAGGGTGTGACCCAGACTCCCATCGGCACCATTCCCAACCAGCCAGCTGGCCTACAACAGCCAGCCCGGCCCTCACAGACAATCCTCTTCCGACCAGCTCACTTGGCCCGAGACAGCCGCACTGCCCCTCTGACCCCCGGGGGAGCCTGCCCCGCTCCCAGCCCAGCAAGTGAAACCCTCCCCTACCTGCTACCTCTCTGAGAGGGACACAGCCAAAGCCTGCTTCAGCCCTACTCAGTGAACAAACAGAGCCCTGGAACTATAAAAACTGTTTCCTGGCTGGGCCACTGGCTGCCAGCTCCTCGGACAATCTCAGGAAGCTTCTGCTAATGCAGGAGTGGATACCACAGGATGAGAAAAGAAAGCAGAGTCCACTGACAGCAGCTAGCCCCGATCACTCAGAGAATCAGCAGGAGACAGCCACCACAGGCCTGACAAGGAGCCATGGCAGTAAAGACGTTAGAAGTATTTCAACATTAAACGGAGTTCGAAGTCTATGCACCAAGACTCTGTTAAAGGATTCGAAAGAAGGCAGTAATTCTTCCCGAACAGGAGACTGACAAATGGAATGTCTAAAAAGCGAGGCTAACTATAACAACAGCAAATACTTACATGGTGTGATTATTAATTGAGCATCCGTTATGTGCCAGGGACTTTAACCCACATTATCTCATTAAATTGTAATCTCAACTCTGTGAAGCAGATGTGATCATCCCATTCTGCAGATGGGTGAACCAAGGTTCAGAGGAATGAGGCGACTTGTTGAAGTCCACCCCACACTTTAAGCTAGGAATCACAGTGCTTTAACTGCCAGAGCGCCGAGAACCCACGGGTCACCCCGGGTCTGCTCAGAGAGCACAGTGCCTACCCTGCCATCTCTGTGTGTGGGGCGTGGGCACAGAACACCCTCCTCTTTATCCCCAGTGGGAGAACATCACAGTCAGGGCAAGAATAACATTAGGACTATACTAAACACTCAACCTAAGAGACTCATAATTTGCAATATCCCATGAGGACAGAGCCTTGTGGGCATTATCTCTAATACCAACTCTCACTTTCCAAGATGTGCGTATCATCTGAGCATTTGGATTTGCAACTCAAAATTTATGGCACTAACTTGGAGGACATTTGTGGTTTTATAGTGATAAACCCACTAAGTCACCTAGGCCCCCAAAAGAAGGGTGACAACCATAATGCAGGTCAGACACAGCCCCCCAGTCAGGGATGAGCTTGTGAGCATTTGGCCACAGGAGGACGGCGAAGGCTCCGGGTTTCCCGCAACCAGCCTCGCCTACCACTTTGTACACTGTGGCTCTCTTCGCTCCCATAGCGGGAGCTATCTAGTCAGTGATCACCTGTAGCTTCCTGGGTAGAAGGAAAGAAACACTCAGGAGAAACTGTCTCTGCCCTCTGGCTGGCTGGCCAGGACTCCTGTCCTTCCCAGAGGCAGTGCCACATCAGAGGGACGGGTAAGGGCCAACATGACAGCTCTGCAGATGGAAGCCAGGTCATGGAGGCAGTCAAGGGCTGGCTGAGCACCCACTCTACCCATCCCAACGGACCAGAATCAACTCCTGACTTTGCCTTGTGACCCCGGGCAAGTCACTCAGTCCTGTCAGGCTAACTCTGCCTGAGGTGAAAGCCAACCTACATGTCTCAGAAGATTCCACGAGGCGCCGAAGTTGGACAGCATGGAGTGGGTGCAACGGGGCTCCCAGGTCTGCTCTCCAGCCAGAGCCCCCACCCAGCCTTACAGCCTCCCTCTCCCGTGTGTACAACACCTTTGGAAGAAGAGGGAGGTCAGGAGGGATTTGGTCAGTCACAGCCCATAGCGTGGCGAGCACTCACCTTCACAGCCGCCCCTGGAGCCATTGCAGGCCCCCGGCTCCAAGGGCGAGCTGCCAGACTCCTCAGGCAAAGGCTGTTTTATATAGCGGCTGGGAAAAAAGAAAGAAAAGGAATTATTTGTTAGCCATAACATTTACCTGTTTTTCTCCATGACTCAGCTAAATGTGGTTCACAGCTGACATACAGCTATTCACAAAGCAATTCAGATAAATAAAAGGGCTTTAAAATCACATGATGGCTCAATACTTTAAGAAACTGAGAGGAACCCAAAAGATAAGATGTTTTAAGTACCAAGTCACTGAAGGCTCTGAGTCTTCTATGAATGCCTGTTTCAAGTCTTCTACAAATGTCACGTGGCACCATCATTGAAATAAATATTTCTCAGTAACATTAATCACCAGCTTCAAAATGATAGGGGAGTACTTTGGAAACTATATTCAAACACAAACGGACATCAAAGCACTAGATGGCCCAAACCCACTGACTGACAAGTGTGACAGACACAATTCTAGGGACCACAGAAGAAGCTGAGGTGCTCAGTGTCATGGCGCTTAAGGGGTGCCAGATGCCCTATCCCCACAGCACCTGTCCTGGCCCTCCCGGGGGCCGGCCCAACTGCATTTTCATAGGACTGAGCACCCAGGACCAATACAGGCACTGAGAGGGGGAAGATGGGGGAGGCATTACAGAGACTGGGCTCATCGCGTTTTTAGGTTGCAAGCAAAACGCATTCCTGCCACCAACCTGATACGCTCACAAACAGCCTGGTACAAAGACTGGAGGGTTAGCTTGTGCTTGGCAACAGAAACCAGCAGTGGCTGCCCGTACAGCACGGCCCCAGAGGAAGTGCTCGACGGCCTGGACTTCCTTTCCCTGAAGTAGACTGGAAGCGTGACACATTCAGAGCCATCATCGGAGGTGCCGCAGACCTCGTACCTGTGTCAATCACAAAAGAGGGCACCTTCAGCAGCAGGTCACTACGAGCAGCAGAGATCTGAGCTGCAGCTACACGGTGGCCAGGACTGTGGTTGCTGGGACAAACCATACCTCAGCATAAAAGGTGGATAAACCATTTCCAAGATGATTCTAGAAGCTGGGTCAGCAATCCCAAGGGTCACTGTCAGCAAAACGTGATACACAACCCAGGACTTGGGGCTAACGTGATTCTCTTTCCCCCAACCATGGCCTCAACTCTGTGGTCCTTCAAATGGAACTCAACACAGATGACAGCCATCATCCAGACCATCACTGCAGATACAGAGGCACAGGGGGCTGGGGTGGGAGGGGGGGCCTGGCCACCAACTTCATCTTCTGTAACCAAGGAGCTCAACTTTTAAAAAGGTATTCCTACATGCCCTGACCTTCAATAAAACCAAATATCATACAAGAATGTATACCTAGAATATTAGGCAAAGATTCTTTATTTCAAATGAGGAAGCAAATTTATAAAACTAACTGCCATCTTTGTTCAAAAACATTGAAATTAAAGAATCATATTTAATTTTTTAAAAATTAGAGATAACCAAAGAAAATGCTAAATACAAATCAATGATTTTGAAAAATGTGTCTTACTTAGTGAATACATGGGATTGAGGAGATTTATAGATGTTTTATCCTGGAACAGATGTTACCAAAATTGCTGGCAACCGACTGTAGTCTTTCCCTCTTCCTATAGGGGGAGACACAAACTTACTGATTCAATTTTTGGAAAACTATAAACAAACATACACACAAAACCCTCCCCAGATGCCTGGCAAACGATTCTAAATGAAGTAGGTGCAGGAGGAGTTCTAAGAAAAACTCACAAAAATGTCCAAGATGTGCTGGGTAAAGGCCCTATGGTCCAGCATTAGGGTCAAGAACCACGTCTTAGGAGTGAGGCTGGCCCAAATATCAGGCCTGTCACTGTCACTTTCTGGCTGCTGTAACAGGGCCACATGCCCCCCTCTGACACTGCTTACTCAGTGAACAATGGGATTACCCACCTTAGAGGATGGTGGTGAGAAATCAGTAACTCAGCAGCACGGTGCTCCACATGCTCAAAAAATATTAGCAGTACTAGTGTGTTTTCATGACAATTACCAATTCATCTTTAAAACAATTTGCTTCCTTATGGTTGGCACTCAGGCCTCCACAAATTCCTTCGTTGGTGGTGGTTTGCCAGGTTCCCCACACGGCAATGCGCCAGCACCTCTAAGCTCTGGTGTTTGCAAACATTAGTTTCCAGAATTGAGGGAAGGCGCTGTTCAGGACTTGGGATCAGAAATGGACAGCCTTAGCCTGAATCCCAGCATGAGCCCTGGTGCCCTCCATTTGTAAAGTGAGAGAAGATGGCTGTGAGTGGAGAGGCAGCTGCGCAAGTGTGAACAGAACCAGGATCTTGGAAGCGGTCAAGAAGTACTCCTTTTAGAGTAATCTAGAGGTCACAGGCCCAAAAACTTAAAAGGGAAGGAAAAGTCCTCCTTGGTGCACTGCATTCCTCTACCAAAACACAAACCAAAACAAATGCTAAAAACCTTTCTCAGCAGAGTCAAGTTTCCAGTGAGAGGGAACGAGGGAGAAAGAGCATGGGTGTGGTGTACATTCAAGCTTCCCCGAGCAAGTGGCTGTCAGAGCGCGCAGGCAAGCTCACATTCCCCTCCACCCCACTTGGGAGAGGGGGACACACAGGTACAGGGCCTTGAAGTAAGGGGACCTGGGAGGGGCCGAGGGGGCCAGTGGAGCTGGGGGTGTACTATCCCCACACAGATGAGAAAACTAGGTCTCAGAGCTTACAGATTGTTAGAACAGAAAAAGGCTGTTTCCATCAAACCTCCTTGTCGCTCTTGAGACGGTACCTGCCCAAGGAGCCACTGCCTGTACCACATCCCTTCTCTCATCTTCCCGTGGCCCCTCGCACAGCTCTAACTCTTCTTGAGAAAGGCATTTCCGGCAGCAAGTCCATCTGCAGAACCATTAAATAGGCCTTCTTAAAAGGTAGTGACTGTTGACAAAAGGCTATGTCCGTGCCGAAGAGAATTATCTGGAATGTCTAGCTCTGAAGTGCCAGGAGGTGCTTAGCACTGATGGCTGCCCACAGTTCTCTGAACACCCATCCCCTGCACCCAAGAGTCAGGGCAAATCCACCTGAGCACTGAGTACCAGATCTTCTGCTCTGGAGACACCTATAAGGCAAAGCCTCTAGAATGTTTCCTTTGACCCTGCAGCAGAAACCGCTGAGTACTCACACAAAAATGTCATCCCGAGGCATGATGTGGTTTAAACCTTCATCCATTTGGAAAATTTTGTGGAACCGGTGATTATATACATCTGTGACCACCATCTAAGAATCAACAGTAACAGAAAGATTACAGATGGTTAAGAGCCTCTACATACAACCCAGGAGCAAATGAAAACGATGTGCTGCCAGTATGGCCTCCAGAGAGACCGCCATGCCATCAGCCCCAGAGCTCAGGGGCCAAGGCCCAAGGGAGCACAGCGTGACTGCCACCAGCAGAAAACATGCTGGTAACATCTGTCCGGAGGTTTACAATGGGATCTGCCCTCAAGTGGCAGGAATGGTGGGGAGCGAGTGCTGACCAGAGACTGGTAGTCATCCAGAAACCTCTGGGGTGTCCCCCAGGGCCAAGAGTCTTGAAACCATCCTCAGCACATAGCTGATCACACCAAACCCCAACTACACAACTGCCTAAAAGCAGCAGGAGTACAAGGGGAGTGGGGCTGAGCAAGGGCACTGACCAGTGCTGGGACCGGGGACGGACTCGGAGCATACTGGAGGATGGGGAGAGGGCTCTTCACTTTCCCCACCTCCACACAGGGCCTCAGCAGAAAGCCCAGCGAGGGGAGCTGCTTTTGAATAAAGATTTCCATCAACAACATCATAATATCACTCCAGACATACAGGATTTAGCGTAGGGAAGAACTTCTAGCTTCTCATACTACACAAAAGGTCATGAGGGAAGGGGCAGGAAAGCTGACAGCAGAGCCCTATTCCTGGCCCTCTGACCACGGCTAGTGGGCCATCAACGGAAGACAGAGTGCTCCCTGTGGCTGAAGGGACAGTCTTAGCCGCAGTGTGCAGTGCACAGTGAGCGAGGGCCAGGAGGTCAGCAGGTCTGAGGTATCCACATATAAGCATGTTTGTGCTGGCCAATAAGAACTACCCCTAAAATGGCTACAAGTTTGAAAATACACTCCCAAGGACTATGAAGCGGCCCCAGGAGGCTGCGTGCCACTGACCGCCCCGCCTTACGTTTTCCGCAGCAACACCGGACAGCCTGGAGAGTGCCTCGCACAGGTCAGACACGGCCCCCATGAGCGGCACAACCACACGGTACTGCAAGAGAGAGACAGGAGGGGTGACGAGGGTGCTCAGCAAAGCGTAGGAGACGAGCTGGGAGGAGCAGGCATCACGGAGGGCAGAGATGACCTCCCAGGAAGTGTGCATGAGGTCAGGGCCCAAAGGAGGGTCAGAAGAGCAAACAGCAAGTCCTCTGCCTCGGCACCCGTCTCTCTATTTGCGCAGCAGCACAGAAGCCAGCCATCTCTTTCCCTCCTCAATACTGCTTTTTTTTTTTTTTTTAAGATTTTATTTATTTATTTGACAGAGACAGACACAGCGAGAGGGAACACAAGCAGGGGGAGTGGGAGAGGGAGAAGCAGGCCTCCCGTAGAGCAGAGAGCCCGATGTGGGGCTCGATCCCAGGACCCTGGGATCATGACCTGAGCTGAAGGGAGACACTTAACAACTGAGACACCCAGGCGCCCCTCCCTCCTCAATACTGCTTTGTCTCATTCTTCACTTTTGGCAGTCATCCACTACTTCCTTGAAGGAATGGCTGAAAATTCTACAAACTGCCACGTGATGGCATCTGTAAGAGGTGAAGAAACCAAAGCCAGAAGACGAAGCAGTACAGTCTTCCGGTAAGCCAGTAGCAGGGCGGGACACTAAGACCCGCTGGCCATGCCATCCATCTAGCCTTCTGTTCTAGCAGACTCTCCTGGCTGACTGACCAGGAAGTACCCTCCTGCTGCCTCCCAGCATTCAGATGCTAGGACCACTCAGCAGATCAGTCATGTTACCTTAGCTGAATGAATGGAGCAGGGGGAAAAAGGTGACAGAGAAGCCCAGAGGACCTTCACGATCTTCCCTGAGAGATACAGGATTACACAAAGGTCTGACGGAGGCCGAGGGCGCACACTCAGGCAAGCGCCACGGGGATTCAGAGGCAGCTGGTAGAAGAAGCCGCGCTCAGAGTCCCACGGTGAGGGGTGCCGTGAGGGTGCAGATCCTCTTACCTGGGTAGGTCTGCAGCGAGGGTCAGCAGGAACCAGAAAGACCTCCATAACTCTATCTTTCTTCAGGGGCAGTGGGAGAGTTAGATAGCAAAATGGATCAAAGGTCACAGAAACCTTAGCACATTCTGGGCAAACCAAAGTAGATTTGAAGAGGCCGTGGAACGTGTCCACAATCACAGAGTCATTCCTTAACCTGTGATTCTCCCAGGCTTCCTTTGCCACCACCTGGAAGGAGAAAGATAAACAAGACATTCTCAACACACCCAAGTTGTTTACCCCTTCATCCAGAATGATCCACAACAGAATCTGAGCTGGACCGTGAGGCAGTCTCTGCAGCAAAGAACTTGGTCCAGGCCAGCCAGGGCTTGGACTGCTCTCAGCATACCATTCTCACAACCACATACCAGCTCTATGCCCAATCCCACACTTAACGAAGCCTTCACGTAGGATCGCGGGGCATACAGGCGTCTGCGTGTCCTCTGATGGGAGACAGACAGCCCTGACAGCACTGGGGGCAAATGGACCTGACTAGGGCAAGGACTGCCTCCTATAAGGTGTTCAATGATCCAAAGTCCCTTCACAGTGAGGTTTTAATTTATACTATAGTTCAGCTAATTCAGCTAACTCATCGTTTTTCCTTCAAGATATAAATACTACTTTAAAGTTTTCATATGATTAAGCCCAATGTGATAGGGGAACTTAAATACCAAAGTCCCTTTCATTAGATCAGAAAATCGAGGCAAAAAAATCAGTACCTTAATAATGTTAATAACAAACTATTTTAATAATCCTATATGTATTTTAAGGAGGTGGGTAATAATCCCAAGGCCCATACTACAGGCACTTTAGTTTTTAGACTGCCCTAGTCTCTGGTTCAGCAATGGAATTATACTACACAAACTGACACTAACTTAAAGAAGCCCAAGCAGGAGAATTAGGAGTAACTAGAGTTTGCCTCTTTCTGACCCGGAATGCATTTCTCCACCACAGTCCGTGTCCACGTCATCAACAGCAAAGGGCAACCAGGGTCCTGGCATCAATACTCAAAGACTCAAATAATGTCCCTGCAACTCTCAGTAGGAGGCAACTTCTATGAAATGCGATTGTTCAAAAATCTTCAATATCATACCGCATCTGGCCGCCCATTGGCATCCTTCAGCTCCAGGTAGGGTTTCTTCTTTACTCGGTTCAGATCTTCGTGCAATCCGTCTAGAAGAAAGGCTAACAGCTCCTGAGAGTCTTGTTGCTGGTAGCCAGAAAACTGAGGGGCGAAACGTCCCACTTGGGTCTACAACAAAAGCAATCACATCAGAAGGCATAAGATTTAAAGAACCAGTGAAGTCAGATGGGAACTTGCCATCAAAAATAACTTTGCAGGGTCACCTGGGACAGTAAGGGAGAACATCATCCGGCCAAGTGGCCCAATTAATTCTCAAGAGCTTAAAGGAGGCCAGTAGTTCTCGCCAGAGACAGGGCTCAGATCAAAAGCCAGGACAATAGTAGACCTGGCACCTGGGCCACTACCCTAAAGGAAGAGTGAAGGGTGGCATCCTGAGTGGCCAACACCTTGCAAGTACTAACACGAATCCCTCTTACTTCCTTCTTTGGTTCAGAGTCTCCACGAGAACTTAACAAATGCTATCTGCATTAGCCAGAGGAATCCTCCTGTACCTAACAGCCCTCCTGTCCTTAAATAACTGTCTGCCTTGTATTGCTCTGCATTCATGATCCTCAAGAGCATGGTCCCCAACTAGCACCACCAGCATCACCTGGGAGCTTGTCAGGAATGCACATTCTTGGGCCCAACCTGGACCTACGGAATCAGAAACTCTGGGTATAGGTCCAGTAGTCTGTGTTTAACAGGCCCCTCCAGAGGTTCTAATGAATCCTAAAGTTGGACAATCAATGCTTTCCACCTGTGTTGCCCAGTACCATAGCCACTGACCACATGTGACTATTTAAATTAAAATTAAATACAATAGGGGCGCCTGGGTGGCTCAGTCGTTAAGCGTCTGCCTTCGGCTCAGGTCATGATCCCAGAGTCCTGGGATCAAGCCCCGCATCAGGCTCCCTGCTCAGCCAGGAGCCTGCTTCTCCCTCTCCCACTCCCCCTGCTTGTGTTCCCTCTCTAGCTGTCTCTCTGTCAAATAAATAAAATCTTAAAAAAAAAAAAAATTAAATACAATAAAAAAGTTCAGTTCCTTGTTCACACTAACCACATTTCAATGGCTAGTGACTGCCATACCAGACGGTGAAGAGAAAAAGTGTCCACCATCAAGGAAGCTCTGCACTATCCCTAATATCCCTAAATACGGTCTGCCAATTGTTCATTTACATGAGTTTGAGCTTAATGTGCCATCACCGGATTCTGGTCTCTTTCTGACTTCATGGTATGGAAACAGTAATTTACATGTATTTCCCATGATTAATGTGACCACAGGGGTAAAAAGAATTAGTTTTTAATTTCGATAAACCATTTAAATTTTCTCCCTGAGCCAAGTTGCTTCTACCCTCCGACCCTTTGAATAAAAAATAAGCCTATCTTTTTCCACCATGTGCTTCATGAAGGCTCCTTAAACTCCACTGGTGCAGGCTAAATAGGGTCTCTGATTTCAAAATATGAAGGCAAGGTCCTTCCCCTCAACAGGAAAAAACATTTAAGGCAAGGGAAAGCCCAAGTGGCTCCAAGAGCCCACTGCAGTTCACCCAATCTTCCTAGCTGAGGGATCCAAGTGAGAACTGACTTTCACACCACATTCCAGGAATATCAACCCAATTTCTGACTGAGGGGTCTCACACTGTGTATAGGTTCCAGGCTCAGAGAACCTGGGAATACACTTCAGATAATACTGGAAATTAAACTGAATTATTACAGTCTGGCTTAGGATGTTTCCTACTTCAAGACTGGCACCACAGAATACAGCACTCTGAGCAACCAGCTTACAAACGACTTCTGCAGTATCCTCAGCCCAGACGTGGGGGCTGAGGTCACTTAGAGTAACTGTGCGCTGCATGACTGAACAACAGAAAAGGAGGATCTCATCATGTGGGGCTTTTAATCTCATCTTAACCCCAAAATGCAACTGAAATAACACTAAATCACTCTCCCCAAAATGGAAAAAAGGAAGTATATATAGCAACCTACTTTGAACATGCGAGGTGCCACGTGAGAGTCCCTTCCAGACCACATCTGTTTAATGAGCTCTGCATAGGCTTCTGCAATTTCCCCTTTCATTCCCAGAGGGTTATCTCTGTTGATTTCAGCCTCATATTCATCTTTGAGAAAGTAGTCAGTCAGTGGTGCAGTGTTGCTCAAGCACTGAAAAAGAACACGATCAGAGCTCACACCCCTTCTGGCAAGCACACAGAGATAAAGATAAACCAAGTTATTAAGGTCCACTGAGGGTCAACTCCCAACAAAAGGAAGTTCTCAGGAGATTCTCTACAAGGCTCACAATTGTAAGGCATAGCCTCCCAGAAGCCCAAGCTGGCGGCCTGCCTTGCAGCTAACCTCCCAAGGACATGGTCTTGGGGCTCACACTGTCTAAGTACAGTCTCTGAATAACTATCTGAGGGCAAAAGCTGCATACCCCAAGTGCTTGACAGAATAATTTTCTATTCAATGAAAGATGATAATTTTTAACATCATAATTTTAAGATGATAATTTTTTTAACTGGAATTGATTAGGACATTCCACTATCTCATGGGAAGACAAAATATAAATAAGCTGAAGGCAAAATATCTTACTAGAGCTGAAACATTATGGGGGAAAAGATCAGGATAACGAGATAGTAGAAAAAGTAATATATAACATTAATATCCATGTGTACATACTAATTTTAACTCTTCAAATTAAAAAACTGAGTTTTATCAAGTGTTTTTTCTGCATCTACTGAGATGGTCGTATGGTTTTTTCCTTTATTCTGTGACTATGCTAAGTGACACACATTAATTTTTCAGGTGTCCAATCAACCACGTTCTCCTGGTACAAATCCTACTTGTTCTACACTTTCATCTAGGTATCACTGAATTTGATTTGCTAAAATTTCATTTAAATTACTTGTGTCTACAGTAATGAGATATGACTATCTAAAATCTTCCTTTTTTAAAAAATTCCTGTCGCAGGTTCTGGCTGGCTCAGTCGGTGGAGCATGTGATTCTTTGATCTCAGGGTTGTGAGTTCAAGCTCCACACTGGGTGTAGAGATTAATTTTAGAGGGGCGCCTGGGTGGCTCAGTTGGTTGAGCGACTGTCTTCGGCTCAGGTCATGATCCTGGAGTCCCGGGATCGAGTCCCACATCGGGCTCCCTGCTCAGCGGGGAGTCTGCTTCTCCCTCTGACCTTCCCCCCTCTCATGCTCTCTGTCTCTCATTCTCTCTCTTGCAAATAAATAAAATCTTTAAAAATAAATAAATAAAATAAAATTTTAGAGGGCACCTGGGTGGCTCAGTTGGTCGAACGACTGCCTTCGGCTCAGGTCATGATCCCGGGGTCCTGGGATCAAGTTCCACATCGGGCTCCCCCTGCTGTGCAGGGAGCCTGCTTCTCCCTCCCTCTCTCTCTGCCTGCCACTCCCCCTGCTTGTGCTCTCTGTCAAATAAATAAATAAAATCTTTAAAAAATAAACAAACAATCAAAATTTGAGAAAAAAAAATTCCTTGTCAATTTTTGGTATCAGAGTATGCTGCCTTGTAAAATGATTTGGGGAGCTGTCTCTTTTCCCATTTCATGAAAGAGTTTTTGTATGATTGGTATTACTTCTTGCTTTAAATCTTTGAATATATTCACCAATAAAGCCATCCAGAACAAGAATTTTCTTTGTTGTAAAGCTTTTAATTACTGAGTCAATTTCTTTAACAAATACAGGACTATTCATAATTTCTATTTCTTCCTAAGTTTGATAAATTATGCCTTCCAAAGCAACCTGTCCAAACTTGTCATCTAAATTGTGTTATTGGCATAAAGTTGTTCTATCTTCTAATCTTTTTAAAATTTTTTAAATTTAATTTTATTTAAATTTTACTTATTTAACATAAAGTGCAATACTGGTTTAGTTTACTATCCTCTAATCTTTTTAATGGCTATAGGGTCAGTAGTGATACTCATCTTTCATTCCTAGCTTTGGTCATTTATATTTTCTCTCTTTTCTTCTTCATCAGTTTCCCTGAGCATTTATATCAATTTATTATTTTTTTTTTCAAAGAATCACATTTGGCTGCAGTGTAAATCACCCCTGTATTTCATTAATTTCTGGTCTTCTATTATTCCCCTCCCACTTCATTTGGGTTTCATTTGTTCTTTCCCTAGCATTAGGAGATAGAAACTTAAATCATGGAAATTTAACCTTTTTTTTTTCCCTGAGATTTACATGTAGAGCTATAGACCTCCTCATTATCATTATCTTCATTTAACAGTTGAGGAAAATTGAGGATACAAAGAGTTGAGAAAACCTACCCATGAAATGCCAAATCTCAAGTTTCTTTTCTTTAGTACTCTGCTCTTCCCATCTCACTACAGTGGGGAAAAAATAATTTCCAAATCCAAGAGTTACCTATTTTTTTACATGTCTTTTTATTTTCTCCCTTCTACTCCATGAAACTTCAAAGTTAGACTGTAAGTCCTGTGAATACAAAAACCATGTCTCATTTGCTCACCACGGAGTCTCTATGTATAGTAAAGAATTTGGCCTTGCCCAAAGAGAAAGTCCAGCTTTTGTCCTTGGCTTCTGTACTTCTACATCTTTTTTTTTTTTTTTTTTTAAGAAGGCTCTGTACCCAACATGGGGCTTGAACTCACGACCCTGAGATCAAGAGGCACATGCTCTACCATCTGAGCCAGCCAGGCGCCCCTTGCCCTTGGCTTCTGGAAAATACTCTGTTGACCCCTGGAATGTTATCCCTGACAGGAATATCTTTGTTTGTCTGGAGGTCATCAGTCATACTGGAGAATCTAACACTGTATTTGGGGTGGTGGTAGCCACACTTATACTGTCATCTTAGGGTGAGAGCCAGCCACTCCAGAAAGACCAACACTGTGACTTGGGGGGAACAGGGGGGCAGGGGGGACGGACGGACTTGGGTCACGTCTTATCAGTCTACCTGGAGACTGAGTTTAACCACCTAGGCAATCAATCAATCAATCATGCCATGTGATAAACCACCAATAAAAACTCTGCAAACCAAAGCTCAGGTGAGTTTATATATTTGGCAATACCCCATGCCTACTGTTACACATCAATGCCAGGAACGTAATGCATCCTGACTCCACAGGGAGAGAACAACAAGCTTTGTACTGGGGACCCTCCTGGACTCTCCCTATTTGCTCCTTCCCTTGGCTAATTTTAACTTGTATCCTTTCCCTATAATAAACCACAACTGTGAGTATAATAGTTTTAAGTGAGTCTATGAGTCCTTCTAGCAAATTACTGAAACTGAAGGTGGTCTTGGGGACTCCCAAACTTGCAGCTGGTGTCAGAAGTGAAGGCAGTCTTGGGAACTCTGCCCTCCTAACTCTGTAGCTGGACCCCAACTCCAGCCCATGTCCACCACAGTATGGTCACACAGTATGTCCCCAGTAACTATTTGATCAACAAACAAATGAAGTATCAAAGGGAGGATTTTAGGATTTTGCACTATCAGGGGCATGAGATAAGACAGCATCACTGGTAAGAAGATGGTACCAGCTGTAGTGAGTTCTCATCCCATCAGAAACCAGCCAGGCAAGTACTCCAATATTTTCTGGGGAGATCATCCCTAATGGCCAACAAAATTCAAAGTATTTTTACTGTAAAACCCACCCCAGAACTGATTAAGAAGACATTTTAGGACCATTAAAAGTGATGAGGCCATTCTGTACTTACCAGTGGGAGATGCCCTGATAGGGATCCCTGAAGCTCTAACAAAGGGTAGGCAGGTACCCCTGGTAAAGGATCCCCCAACATTTTAGCATGCCTTTCCTAACCACACCTCAGTCCTGTGAAGAAGCAGTTATTGAGACGACAGTTCTCCCCTCTACCTGCAAAGCGGAGTTCATGAAGCAGGTGTTCCCCAGGTTTCCAAGTCCGCAGAGCCCAGGCTGAATGTGAGACGATGGGGACTCCTGACAATTATATGAAGCAGAGAAGCCAGATCCACTGGAAAACACAACCCACATCAGCAATAAAAGCGAGTGCTGTGCAAATGCTCTCCGGATACCTTGTGGGGCTCCTCCAGGGCCTCTACAATTCTTATCTGGCAATAATTCCATGATACGAGTTTTTTCTCCTCCCCTTGCCAGCCCTCCAGCCACTCCCCTTCTCCTACCCCTGCCCCTGATTTGACATGACAGTAGGTGGTAAACACATCCTTAAGGGGAGAAATGCTGAGTTCTCTAGTTTCAGGCTTTTGGCAAATGCTAACTGTGTCCCTCTGGAAGGCTAACAACTACCATGTGACTTCAGGGAAGAACATGTGGTTACCAAGATTAAGAGCTCACACCTGCCACCACTCACCAGGCCACACTCGGTCCTAACTGTGCCTGAGTATTCATGCACACTCTCTTGCCTCACCCTCCTCCTCATTCAGTCTGTGCTATGTGGCAGGCACTCGTGAGATGCTTGCACAAAGGTCACAGCCATCCGGAGGGGGAACAGGCAGGGATCCCCCACAGCTGAGAACCATTCCCTCAGAGCTATTACTGTGCTGTGATATGGCCAGTCCATCCCTGCACACAAAAAGTGGTGACCCCCCAGGACCACCAGTGACTTAGGCTGTCATATAAGCAGCTCATATAAGGACAAGCAACGTTAAGTGAGAAGTAGGAGGCATACTTCATGGTGGGTATGAAATGGAGAGAGAAAACACATGCAGCCTGCTCCCACGGGGAACCCTAATCCCACCAGGCTTAGTGTGGCAGCACTCGGAGGGAGGGAAGCAAAGTGAAAGGGCCTGCTCTTACCCCCTGCTGACACCGGAGCTGTGCATCCCAGAGGTATTAGTGCTATCACCATTTGCAATGGGAGAGGCGGACACTGAGGAATAGGGACTTGCTGATGATGTTGGAGAGGTAGGAAAATTTCTGCTAGGCGCAGTGCTTGATCTGGGAGAGAGAAGCAGAGACAACGCTACTGACTTTTTGCAAAAAGCAAGCCCTACTGAATGCCTTGGGTCTCTTTCCAAGAAATAAATGTTCTCCAGATTCAGTTATTTAAAATAAACTGCAAAAGCCCTACTGTCATACTACTTCAAGATAAATTTTATTTAAATGAGTCAAGAAATTAACTGGTCTTCCTGGTCTCATTCATTCACATGGTTACCCACCCAATCTCTCAGTAGGATGAACCACAAAGTTGATCTTTAGGGCATCCTGACTTGATTTATAAATCATAAACTTCCCTAATAAGAGTTACCAGTGAAAGACACAGAAAAATGGCAGTAAGAGATGAATATCCCCAAAAATACTTGACCCGAAATGAACAGCTGGTTATAAGTACACTACAACAGGAAAACGGTAATTCGGCTTCACTATGCTATTCAAGGAGAATTGCTTTTGCTTCCTCAAATTTATCAAATGTGAGTAACCTCTGTCTCAAACTTATGTTTTGATATTTTTCATAGCATCTTATTTTAGATTTATTCCAACTTCCTGATTAATAAATGCAAGCACTGTCCCAAATATTAAACTGGTATGATTTTTATTAATTTTCTACTAAAATCTGTATAAGAATATGTAGAAGAAAGTGAATTGTTCTGCTTTGTTTCAAATATGTACAAACGTGATTTTCCTTCTAGATTTGGGGTTATTTTTAGACTACAGAAAATGATTACAATATGCCCCAGCAGAGAGCCCAGTCTAATGGGATCTGGTCTCAACCAGGGTTCCCTGCAAGAAAGCGAAACAAGGCAGCAGAGATAAGGAGTGACCCTGCACCCACACCTGCAGTGGACAGACATCAGGAAACTACCCAGGGGCCTAATTGGGCATCAGGTACTGAGTTCTGCTCCACACTCTGACATCACAGTGAGAGAGGGAAAGAGGGCTCCGCAGCCCCTCACCTTCCCATAGGGAAATGAACCTTTCTCAAATCCTGAAGAGCATCTGCTTCAGAGAGCCTCATCCTCATGCTGCAAATAAGTCCAAGAATCTGGATACCTCTGTAAATGAGACTCGGCAGAACCAAGGGCATTGAAGGTGACTTTAGCACACACATGAAACCTGTCCAATATGATGCAGGCAGGAAAGTCGCTACTCAAGGCTGGTCTGAGAGGGCATACCATTCTCAGGTCTGTTGACAGGTACTATATGATAGTGAAATTCAAATTCTGACGTGCAGAACCTCAAGGCATATAGTCTAATACTCACTCCCCTTTTTACTAACTGTTCACTACTAACATTCTATTTCTTTGAACTCAAAAGGGCAAAAATCCACAGAAGCCATAACCAAGATCTGTCAATTTCTTAACGACTGAGCCACCCAGGCACCCCTAGATCTGTCAATTTCTTAAACAGACATTTCTGGTTGAAATGAAAGAAAACAAAGAAAAATTCTGACATTTGTTCAAAATGTTCTAGATAACACTGGCAGTAGTTTTCAGAGTAAATCCAGTCGAAAAGAAACCCAATGATGAGTACATAAGGATTTCTTTTTATATGCCTGAAAATTTACATAAGACAAAGTTTTTCTTTTTTAAAGACATTTATTTCAGAGAGACAGAAAGCCAGTGAGCAGGTGGGGGGAGGTGCAGAGGGGGAGGGAGAGGGACAAGCAGACCCTGCACTGAGCGCAGAGCGGGGGGGTGGGGAGGCTATCTTGATCTCAGGACCCTGCGATCATGCTGAAACTGAGTCAGACACTTAACCGACTGAGCCACCCATATGCCACAAGACAGTTTTTCTTAAACTCCACCCTTGAGAGACAAAAGCAAGACCTCTGTGCAGAAAAGTGACCATATGGGAAACGCCTGGGCACTTGGCACTTGTCATCAGAAGCTTTAGAGCACATTCTGGGGCACTGCAGGCTGACAATAGGCAATTTGTGGGAAACACCTTACGCTCAAGGGTACATATTAGGTGAGTCAAAACCTCACTGGGTCTCATGCCACCAACACTCTGAAAACAGAGGCTTACAACTCCAAAGAAGGATTCCTCTGCTCCTTTAAAAGACACTCTGGTCAAGCCCCTAGTCTCTCAGTAGCTTTCTACCTAGACATTTCCTGCTTCTAGGCATGTCCAGTCCTTACCAATCATAACTAGAGCATGCCCTGAACCCATGACTGAGGCCCTGTAACACACTCATGCCTGCCCTCCTTGCTCCACGGACCTCTGCATGCTTCTCAGATGTTCTCCAGGCTGAAAGCTGCTCTGCAGATGAGCCCACCTTTTAGGGATGACCTCAAGTAACCAGAGTCCAGCACCTGGCATTATCATTAAGATAACAATGAACTCAGGGCGCCTGGCTGGCTCAGTGGTAGAGCATGCAACTTTGATCTCGGGGTTGTGAGTTCAAGCCCCATTTTGGGTGTAGAGATAACTTAAGAATAAAATCTTAAAAAAAAAAAGATAATAATGAACTCTTATTGGAATCCTCACTGCCTTCACAACATCCTAAGCTCTGCTCTCCCCACAACAATGCTGTTAACCCTCACCTGCGTGCACCCACATCTCCACTTCAGGAACACTGGCCTCTTCTACCTCTGAGCAGGCAGCCTCAAAAGGGGGCCATGGTGCAGAGCTAACCAGGCCTTAGAGACCTCAGGCTAGTAAAGTCAGAGGGAGTTAGAGAGAGAGAGAGAAGTGAGGCCTGCTCTACAGAAAACCTTGGAAGTACGAACACAAAGGTTGGAGCAATCCACAAGGAAGACAAACTTGTCTTAAAATGTTCAGAATTTACAAGGTGGCCCTCACTAATAAAAGAGCTGAACAGAAACAATTTATGCTGTTCTCCAGCCACAACACATGTAAAACTGACTCTATACGTAGATTTAAAAAAAAAAAAAAATGGGTTAGGCCAATCAATGACTTCCCCTGGATGACAAATTCACTGGCCGTATTTTACCACTCCCTCAAGGTTAACCTGTGTCTGCTTGACAGATGATGCATTACTAAATATAGCTGTTTTTGTTTGTTTTTTAAAGAAAATCTGATCAAAAGGGGCACCTGTGTAGCTCAGTTGGTTAAGTGTCTACCTTTGACTAAGGTCATGATCCCAGGGTCATGGGACCAAGCTGCGCTTCAGGCTTCCTGCTCAAGGAGGAGCCTGCTTCTCCCTCTCCCTCTGCCCCTCCCCCTGCTTGTGCTCTCTCTCTAATGAATAAATAAAATCTTGGGGTGAGAAAACATGAGATAAGGAGGCTGAATTAAGGATAGCTTGAATAGTGATTAGAATAACTATAAATGGGGGCGCCTGGGTGACTCAGTCAGTTAAGCATCTGCCTCTGGCTCAGGTCATGATCCCAGAGTCCTGGGATTGAGCCCCGCATCAGGCTCCTGCTCAGCGGGGAGCATGCTTCTCCTTCTCCCTCTCCCCCACCACTCCCACTCATGCTCTCTCTCTCAAATAAAATCTTAAAAAAAAAAAGAAAGAAAATCTGATCTGAGAGTTTTGATGAGTGAGTTTAACCCGTTTATAGTTATTCTTTTTTTTTTTTTTTAAAGATTTTATTTATTTGACGGAGAGAGAACAGGCAGGCAGAGTAGCAGGCTCCCCGTTGAGCAAGGAGCCCGATGTGGGGCTCGGACCCAGGACCCTGGGATCATGACCTGAGCTAAAGGCAATCACTTAACCAACTGAGCCACCCAGGTGCCCCCATTTATAGGTATTTTAATCACTATTCAAGATGTCCTTAATTCAGCCTCCTTATCTCATGTTTTCTAATTACCAAGTTTTCAGTTGTTCTTTTTTACTTCTTGCCCTCAATTTCCCTTCTTAGGTGTGGCAATTTCCTAGTTGTCTCCTAGAGTACTGTGATTTTTTAATAAGAATGTATTTTGGGGGGCACCTGGGTGGCTCAGTCGTTAAGTGTCTGCCTTTGGCTCAGGTCATGATCCCAGGGTCCTGGGATCGAGCCCCGCATTAGGCTCCCTGCTCAGTGGGAAGCCTGATTTTCCCTCTCCCACTCCCCCTGCTTGTGTTCCCTCTCTGGCTGTGTCTCTGTCCGTCAAATAAATAAAATATTTTTTTTTAAAGATTTTATTTATTTATTTGAGAG